TATTATTATTATTAATACTTACAGACATAACTACTCCAAAGTTTTCGTACATTGTTGATTCCTCCTAACACAATTGTCAAACTGTTAAAACACTTTTTTGGCTTTAGCGTAATGTTTTCCTGTTTAGGCTCACGTTTCAAGCCTAGAGACTGAGTATCATTTCCTGGTTTAACGGTTCTGCATGAGAAGACGCATGAATATGGATACAACTCAAGCGAAGAATCTTTTTTTCCAAAACAATGATATATSATCTGAAATGACAAAGCTTGACAGGTCTATTGGATAAATAAGCCTTAATAATTCGGTGTTATTTTGCTCACGAGACTAGTTCTAATCGCGTGACATATTAAGCAATTACTGCGCGAGGTTGTAAGAAAATTGTGCTGATTAACTGAACAAAAGAAAGTGTACAAGGAAATCTGGTAGTAGAATTCAATGACTCCATCGTGCAAACGTCCTATYCTGGTTGTTTGCGCGATAGACATATCAACCAGACAAATTAATATTTCAGTGTTTGACAACGTAATGAATAAGGAAAACAACGCGTAGGATAATCGTTCAAGCGGTGTGTAACCTTCACATGCAGCGCTCGAACAAGTTACCGACAATCCCATTATATTTTATTATAAGTGATTTCACTTTGTCCGTGAAATAGTCAACGTAATACACAGTAGTAATTCCTTTGTTTCTTTCGTTTTACTTTGACTTGTAGTCACTATTTATACGTTTCGCGGGCCCAATAAAGACACTCTCACTTTAACAGACCAGTTGACAAATCCGGCTTCACAGTTCACTATCACGGCGCCATCTTGAAAGATAGCTGTACCTTTGCATGGAAGGGAGACGAACGGTGAGCTTGCAGTGATAGAGACGTGAATAATTGTTCAAGGTGTTAAAAAGGTATCTATCATTGCCAGTTCACCATTCGTCTCCCTTCGTCGTAATAGAGGCTTTGCGCCATCACGTGATGGCAGCCATGACAGGAGGCAAAACAATAGAGTCGTTTTCCCCTGGGAAACTGAATTTTTTCTCATATAAATCAGATTAGACCAGATTCAATTGTGCCTGCTTCCTGTCATGGCTACCATCACGTGATGGTACAAAGCCTCTATTGCTTAAGTTTAACTTCCATTTTATGTTGAAAATCTATTCGTTTTAGTGTAGGTCCGTAAATCCCCACGTCTCTTTATCAGTATCTAACTGTCACAATCTATAAACTCGTAAAACAATTTTCAAAAACATGATACTTTATTGTAGAACAATTTGCTCATAATTCAAAGCTTGTTTTACCCTTATTATTTCAAAACTGAAACCGAACTTCGACAAGTTCAAAATAGACTGATATGATTTGCTTTCGTCGTATTAGATAAAATTATTAAACAAGCTTTTGATAAATTACTGATTACGGCTTCAGATTTGGGAACTCCACTTCTCTTTTGCCGATAGACAATCTCGTACCCAGAGCCTGCGTTTCTTTTGGCCTGCGGCGAAGAACGAGGGCTCTGGCATAATCCATTTTTTGAGACCAGGATATCTTGGACTTCCGGTATAAGAGCGTATACGTTAAAAGACTTGCAAAAAATAAAAAAATATGTTCCCGATTTCTAATTCTTATTTTGATCGGAAGTAAACACAGAACTCTGTTYGAAAGCAGGTTTGAAAGCATGATTTTCATTGATTATGTTTCACTTCCGGAAAGTTGCGCATGCGCCAAAAATGGATTATGCCAGAGCCATCGTTCTTCGCCGCAGGCCGAAAGAAACGCAGGCTCTGGGTACGAGATTGGCCGATAGATGATCTAAGAACCATTGCGCATGACTGAACAATGCTCAACCGTGTTGCGCATGTCTTTAAACGTCAGTGGAACTGTGTCTTAGTGCGCATGATTGTAGATGACACTAATACAAGTATGTGACACTCGCTAATGAACTAACCTCATGATTATTCAGAAGATGATGGATTTTTAAATCTATACTTAAATATAATTTGTTACAAATTAACAAATACATTATAAAACTAATGCAAGATAAATTTTATGACATTGCGAGGGAATTTAGTTTGTTTTCTGATCAATGCTACTCAATCTTGTGTGTTGTTTGAACTAGTAGAGATGCTTTTGAAGGTAGATGATGTTCTTGACCATGACTTGTGCAGCCCATCGAACACTTGACCAGGATGGTCTGAGGCTGGCTTCCTGGACATCATTGTTTGCGTTCGTACTTGCAGAAACCTAGAAAAGTAAATRAAATTTGGTCAGCGCGCGAAGCTTCACGGTAGTGAAAATTGGCCAATCAGATGCGCAACCACATTCTACTTCAGAGATAGATCTTAATGCGCGTCCAACATTGATTGAGAAGAATTGTAAGAATTTTTTTCTACTCTTACCTTTTCAGTACTATTGAATTTGTTAAATTCATCTTTGAAATCTTCAATTATTCTATCGAAAACAAGACGCACCTTTAATGGTTTGTCTACAAAATTTCTGTTTTGATGTTGTGTT